GTTTCTTTCACGATGTATACTATATTATATACAATATCAAATAAAGAAATGATGTTTACCTATGGGGGAAACCCCCCCCAAAAAAAAAAAAATTATTCTAGTATAGGTAATGATTATATAAACAAAAATATCAATATAATCATAACTAACAATTTTATTTAATATGTTTAAAGGTTATAATATATACATTTGTAATTAATTTGATATTGTATTTATATGTTTTATTTATTTCTTAACAATTATATTTATATTACTTGCATATGCATTATTATTTTATTACATTTCTTTATGTAGAAAAATAATAACAACTATCTTGTTTTCTCATATTTAATGAAAATTTTCTTCATTAATAACAAACAATTTATGTTTATAATGTTTTCTTTAAGACTAATATAAAAATTTTATAAACAAACATGTGAAATTTTTATTAGGTTTAAAAAAATTAAAATTGAGTATAAAAACCAAGATACATGAGTTCAGCCGTGAAAACCAATAATAAAGCTTGTATCTTTTACTTTTGAATTTTAAATTACACATAAAATGAATTAAAAAATATCTCATTCATCAATTTCCATTTTATTTCCATTAAGAGGGTCCAATAAGTCCATCGCATGCAATGTATAGTCAACAATGTACGAGTCTGTGAGCATACGATCCAAACGTTGATAATGTCTCTCTGTATATGGTAACAATCCATCCAACAACTAAAAAAAAATCATCAATTAATTCAGTGTACATATGAACAGGTAAACTCAGAATTTTAAAAACATCAACAGTAAAAAATACCCCTTTAATATCTGGTATCTTCAGTAACTCCTCGGATGAAAAATTTTTTAAAATAACGTTTAATACAGTTTGTGCGGTTCCTGACTTTTTTGCATTGGTATTCCAATCTCTTATATATTTAAGCATCTGCTCGATATTTTCTATAGATAAGGTGGCAATTATGTTATCTATAGGCTTTGATCCCGTTATGCTCGTGTCTCCTGTGCAAAATTATAACAGTCTTGAGTTATTAAATGACAATAGTTATCCGTAGAAATATATGTAATATATACTACCTTCAGGGCGGTTATTTATAATTTCTGTAAAGAGGTTTAGTAGCCTAAATGGTTGGTTCAAAGCTAATGCAAGAACAATGGCATTTTTGTAGTCTTTCTTCATTAAGTAATTCGATAAATCTTGTTCTCTGCAGAATAAATCATAAAAGGTAACTTAAATAAGCCAGTATAATAATATGTTAGACTTTGACAAGACTCACTTCACAATCAACTCCTCCTCTTCCTTTATACGTTGTTCCATTTCCTCAATAGTGCAATCTTCCCAAAAATTTATTAAGGAATCAGCACCACCTGATGCAATAAATTTTTCGTCTTTACGCACTGCCATTGCCCATATTTTCTCGGTATGATTATCCAACGTGGTTACGCATTCATTTGATTTTATAGTCCAAAGTTTAAGGAGACCATCTGAACCACAGGATATCAATTGTAATCCTGATGTCAAGAACGATACTTTGAGAACAGAGTTAGTATGACCTTCAAATGTCTATTTTTAAATATAAATGAAATGAGACAAATGTGAAATATTACAATGCAACGTAAAGAAAGCTCTTTTTATAAATTACCTTTAAGCATGAAAAATCTGTAGACGACCAGATCTTGATAGTTTTATCACCAGAACTGGAAACAAAAGTATGATCTACTGGTGAAAAATGTACGGACCAAACACCACGTTTGTGACCCACACAAGTTCCAAGCAAACTTCCATCTTCGACAGACCAAATTTTAATAGTCTTATCCTGTGATCCTGTGGCATATATCTTGTTATTTGAGGCAATCGCTATGGAATTGATATCTTTTTCGTGGGCGTGATGTGTATACAATGCTTTTAGTTTAAAGTTCTCCTCAGACTTCGTAGGATCTATCAGCATATTTAAAAGTCATCAATTTCTAGGCTACAATTAAATCAAAATGTTTTTAACCTCAAAATTAGAATCAATAATAAATACCCAAAGGGTTCAAGTCCCAAAGCTTTATGGTGCGGTCCTGGCTACCCGTAATGCAGAAATTTCCTTTCTTTGTTGGCAATGCAATAGCTCCAATTGCTTCCGTATGACCAATACACACACCAATACATTTAACCCTTTCTTCATGATTCTCATTGTCTACATCAACATTCCATATCTTTGCAGTACAATCTTTAGAACCAGATATCAACATCTTGCCATCATGAGAACGAGATAAACAAATTACGATGTCTTTATGACCGTATACTATGCTACAATCGAAAGATTGCGCATTATATAGTCGTATTTGTTCGGTATTTGTTGCTACGGCAAGATGAGATTCATCTTGACCGACGTATACAAGGTCGATGACCTCGTCGTTGTGACCTACAATTTGTTTAATGCGCTTAAGACTAGTAGCGATTTGATAGAACAAAATATTTTGATCATTGGTAACAGCTGCCAAGATATTGCTTTTACGGAGGTATCTGTGATAGTTATTTGTTAAACGATAATATTTAAGTTTTCAGAAAAGCATCACTTATTGAAAATATTATAATAAAATAGATACATGATATCTGTAATAGTATGATTGGTATTCTTTTCTGGTTCCTGTGATTTAATAAGTTTGCCAGTCTGTACATCCCAAATCCTAATTATTCCTAATATAATGAATGATAATGGCATGACATTGCAATGAGTCTTTGAGATGCACAACTTCGAATTTATATAATAAGAATAGTGACAAAACAGACCTTTTTCACCACCAGTATAAAACATTTCCCCTACAGAAGAATCCTCGATATCATCAATTGTTGTTTGAGGTTGCAATATTCCTAACTTTTCTATTGACTAGGTTAAAAAATCAAATATAAATCATTAAAGGTATAATGATAAGGTAAATAGATGAATCCCTTTAAAAGTGAATTACCTCATACATCAGAAATGTTTTAACCAATGTCTTTTTATTAAAATCCCAGATATTCACTACTTTATCTCTCGCACCACTTATTATGAATTTTCCATCATGCGTTACATCTAATCCTCTTATTATACTGACGTGACTTTTTAACACACCAACGCATCTGTAAATTAAAAGATTTAGTCTAACTTCTAGGCAACTCATAAAGACCTTTAATATTTTAATCAAAAGAACAATAATCATTAAATTTACATAAATCTTACGTTCGACTTTGTAAATCCCATATGCGAATATTACAATCATCGGATCCCGATATTAATGTCCATCGATCATTTTCGGAGTAAAATTTCAAGGCACTAACAATTCCTCCATGACCTTTAAAATTATGTGTACAAAAACCGCCATCAATATCCCATATTTTGATTGTACTGTCTGCAGATCCCGTTGCCACCAATGTTGAGGTAGCATCAATATCCATTATTATTATAGGTGCTTCGTGCGCCTGATTTTGTAACCATTTTATTTTATTTTAAAAGTCTGCATATGATGATTAGGAGAATTAAACTGGAAGAGCGTATTTTTTCACCTAAATACCTTAAAAGACCTTTTTATTTTTCCCGTTGTCAAATCCCATATTTTTACACCTAAGCTTCTACTCGAGCTCACGAGCTCTTTTCCATTGGGTGTTATGGCAAACGTAGTAATTATCTCGCTATCCTGTGAGATAAAAAAATGCATTAAGAAATGTTTTCAAAAAGACGGATTATAAAAAAATCTTTTTTACATACACCACTTAATCGAAACACCCTTTTTCCATTGTGAATATCTGTAATATCAATGCAATCTCCAACCGTGGTAATCAATAAATTTTCATCTGCTGTGATATCTGCCTTGCCGCCAGTATAAAGAGATCCTATTGTGTGAGAGACCTTAAAACTGAGATAAAAAGAATAAGGGTAATAAAATGGATATATTTTTATTTTTAGAAAATGAATGAATGAATGATAATGTAAATGGAATAATTTATTAAATACGGAGGTGCATGAAAATTAAGCAACCTGCTCTTGAGCTGGATCTTTCCACCGGTCGCGTCAGGCATAATGTGAGACAGTGATAAAAAAATTTTTTCGAAAATCAGTCCCTTATATGTGATGTGGCGCAGCAACAGGTTTACAATTTTTTTGTTTTAAAATAACTATTAAACTATTTACAATTTTATTGAAAAAGCAGATTAAACTGTGAGCTCAAGGTCAAAAATATAAAATGTACGGACATTCATGCGTCCTACAATCAACAAAAATTAGATAACAGTGTATCTAAAAAAAAAAATCGATTTATTTTTGCAATTGAAATGTGTTCGCGTGAGAATCTTGAAATCCCTCGTGGACCAACTTCCCTGCCTTCAACTTTCTACCATTCACCAGTATCTCTAATAATTTCATTATTCTTTGCAGCAGTTTTATGGCTTCTCATAGCAGATCTTCCGCCCGTATTTCCTTTGACTGTAGGATTATAACTTCGAGCACCAGGATTGTAGGCGTTGGCACGAGTATTAGCACTAGTCTTTGCTGAAGAAACGCTGCCGCTATGAGGTCTTGAACCATGGCTTCCGCCACCACTAGATCTGCTGCTGCTTCCCGAGTATTTAGTCATGGTCTGCACAAACAAATAAGTTAATGAGAACAGTATGAAATTGGCTAAATAAGAACGAGATTCCTTTCTTACTCTGGTTTAATAAGTAAAGCAGAAAAAAGTAAAGCAGTGATAGCTTTACAAACCTCTTTATATCAATTTGATTCTTTATAATTATTACCAAATATATTACATAAATATTTTTTTCATTAATAATCCGTCAAGCTTTTCCCATTACATACATCATGCCTTTTCTTATGATTTTTTCGTCATTGCAAATCCTTTGGATTACTACATAAAATATCTGCTTGTGATATCACACGTAAATAACTTGTATAAAATTTTAATATAAAAGAATGCGTATAAAAAAACCTTTTATCTTCTAGCACAATGTATTGTGAAAAAATGTATTACATATTAGCAACTAATACAATAAAATTATTACATATTCTTCTTCAATTCTACCCGAACATTAAGATCATCACAATGCTTTACTACAGAATAATGATACTTTAGAGGCGCGTCCATATTTGTCAGTTCGACGTCATACTTCCGATACACCGATACCATTAAAGTCTTAATTAATGTCATGGCAAATTTCTTCCCTGGGCCTAAATAGATAATCATTACTTTGACACGTATAATAATAGCATTGTATACTATAAAAATATTTAATACATACACATGCGCAACCCTCCACCAAAAATCAAAAGCGAGTTGTTGTGAACCTTTGATTTTGAGTTACTTTCGTCTCTCATAAAACGAGAAGGATCAAATTCCTCCGGATTTTGCCAGTGAGATTTATGGTTGTGAATTGCAAAAGAATTAAGCAAGAACTGTGTCGAACCACTGAAATGATGGCCTGATATCTCATCGCTTCGAATTGCCATCCTAAATATCACCGGCACAATTGACATTATGCGAGATACTGATAGAAAAAAAAATGTACAAATGTTTAATTGGTCAGATAATAATCTAATGACTCGAAGAAAATTAGGAGATACCTTCTTTGATTATCGCCTCGCAATACTCTAATTTATTCAGATCTTCGTACAAAATCAGACGATTAGGCCGATCACCAAAGACAGAATCAAATTCTTTTATCATCAACTCTTTCACTTTGGGATGATGTGCTAAATGGTATACAATGAAACAAAAGGTATTTGCCGTCTGAACAATCCCACAAGGTGCGTCAGTCAAAACGCGATGAGTAAGAGTGAATTGGAAACCATAAGTAGAAACGTACGGTGTCGACACCAGCGGCGATTGCTTCCAACAAATTTCCCCGAACTTCTTCATCTGTCATTGGTCTCGTATGTTCATCATCCGCTATATTTGTGGTAATATCGCGTGGAGTATTAACCGTTAACAACATTGTTAAAATATCTGCCCTTAATGGTTCATCTAACGGAGTTCTCTCTATTTCTCGTTTTCGATCCCGAATAAGATCAAGAAAGGCTTGGTTGACTGTATCAATATCACTCTTCATTGCGTCCGCCTTCTTCCTGAGACCTGGTATACAATCCCGCCATAGTTTTGGCGTGTCCATGAAAAACTGTAAAGCACACAACCATGATTGAATATTCCTAATAAAAGTTCCGGCTTCTTTTAGGACACCTTCTGAAATTTCTACTTTATTTTCCGAAATTATGTTGTAATAATTTGCAAAAGTGTAAGCTCTCCTGTTGGTCGTCATAAGAAAAACAAGATCCATCGTGAATTGAGACATCCATTCCGAGAAATTCAAATCCGCATCTTGACCAAGATTTGACCAATAATTTACCATTTCGAAAAACAACTCTTGCGTCTTTTCCACTGTCTGCTTTAGAAATTTAGGAGAGCTAATGGCCTGATTAAAAAATTTTCGATTATATGACCATGATTCTAGATTACGATTGAAAGTGATTCCCTTGGTGGTAACATCAATCTCATCAAGACCTTGTCGAGCTGTGATGCGGATCAGGAAATTATTGTTGGTCTGAGGACTGACAATTTTCGAGACTAAGTCTCCATTTGACAACAAAATTTGTCGCTCCGTACCCATGTACAACTCACATATGTCACCATACTTTTCTTGAAGCTTTGATACCCATATAGCTGGATTTCCATGATACTGAAGGGAATTTCCAACGATAGGAAGTGGAATGGGTCCAGGTAATTTATTAGAACGCGTGAAATATTTGAAGTAAAATTGTATGATATAAAACACCAATAATAACACAATACTCGAAATCCAGTCCATCGATGAACAGTAAAATAATGCAAGTCCTGGCCATATCATGGTTTTATATAAAAATGGAGACGTTTCACAGATCGCATAATTCAAACTAAGTTATTTTATTTCAAATTCACTAAACCTTTTTCTATTACCAATATTACCAAAATATATCAAGTATTAAGATATAAATATTAAATATACTATTAATACTTTAAGTTAACAATATAAATAATTTTAATATAAGGTTTGATTTTTGAATTAAAAAACAATTCTTTAAAAAAAGAATAAATTTATTTAATATTTGTATATTAACAAAAAGTAAAATAGAAATAATTTTAAGAAAAATTTATAAAAAAACAATTGCTATAAGCCTTTTTTATACAATTTTTAAAAAAACAATTGCTATAAGTCTTTTTTATACAATTTTTTAAAAAAACAATTGCTATAAGCCTTTTTTATACAATTTTTTAAAAAAACAATTGCTATAAGTCTTTTTTATACAATTTTAAAAAAAAACAAAAATTTTAAACTTGTTTTTTTTTATTAAAGATTTTATTTCCATATATCAATATATATTTTTAATTTTTTTTCATAATTTAATAAATATTTAAATTATTTTAAATAAGTTAATAAATATATATTAATAATTAAATCTAATAACAAATTTAATAAAAATTTAAATAAGTTAAGTTTTAAAAATACTAAAAACATTTAATTTATTTTAAAATTAAAATTTTTTTAAATTTAATAATAAAATTCTAAAGTTTAAAATTATTTAAAAAAACAAATTTAAAATAATATTTAAAATTATATATAGTTTAAAAATAAAAAAATTTTTTAAAAATTCTAATTAGTTTCAAGTATTTTACAAAAAATTGAATTAATTTATTCTTCTTAACTATTTAATTAAAAATATGCAAAATGAAGTTTTACTATTTGTTATTTAAAATAAAAATTTTTGAAATATTTTAAAAATATATTTTAAATATTATAAATATAAAAAATTCTAGGTTTCTAAAAATATTTCAAAGTTTTTTTGTTTTAAGTAATTATAATAAAATTCAATTTCTTATATTTTTTATTGCACATAAAAAAAAATAAGTCAATTCAATTTTTTGTAAAATATTTTTAAAACTTATATATATTATATTTATTTCATAGATTTCAAAATAATTTTCTGAAAAGTTTTGAAAATTTTTTTTCAAAAAAAATTTCCAGATATTATTTTATTATTTTATTACTTTATTTTATTAACAAATTTCTATATTGAAATAATTTTAATAATTTTTTATTATTCAAATTTGTAATATAATTAAAATTAATTTAAATTAAATATTTATAAAATTTTGATACTATATATTTAAAAAACTTTATTAAGTAAATTTATTTTTTTATATTTATCTATATTATTTCATTTTATTAATTTATTATTAAAATATTATAAAAGTATAAATTAATATATAGCGTTGTCATTTTTTATTACTACTGTATATATAATATACTGAAGTTAAAAAAAGAAAAAACAAAATTTTATCTATTATTATTAAAAATTTTTTATTTATTAATTTAACAATAAACATTAAAATGTAAAAAGTTTTTATTATCTTATTTGCGACTCAATATGTATTTAAAAATTATTAACTGGTTATTCATTAAAATGTGAATAGTTTTAAATTATTTTGTTGTATAGTATATAAAATGATACCTGTTTTTCATGGACACGCCAAAACTATGGCGGGATTGTATACCAGGTCTCAGGAAGAAGGCGGACGCAATGAAGA